GGGGGGGGGGGCAAAGGTCTAGTACAAGTCCCCCAAGTGCAAAGGGGCCGGGGCCCCCTCCCCCCCCCCCCCAGCAGAATCTGCATCCGGTGCAGCCGAGCCCCACAGCCCACGCAGAAGGCTCCCCCCCCCGCCCCCGGGGGCCCACACCTGTGCTTCCGCTTCTTCTTCTGGGAGGGATTCAGGAGCTCATTGGTGGGCAGCTTCGTTATCAAGGACTCCTTCACGGCAAACTGAAACACCTGCCCAAAGAGAAACGTGCCCGTGACAGTAGCCACTTAGATCCCGCTTTTCTCCCCAAAGGGAGCCAAAGCAGCTTTCAGCGCCCTCACCCTAAGTGAGTGCGAACAAGCCAGGGTCACACGGAGCGCTCCCATGACCCGACCCGCCCCCCCCCCGACCCCGGATCCTGGTCCAGCACCCCAGGGACTCCACCGGCTGGGGGAGGGAGACAGAACAGGCAGCCCCACCTGCTTGCAGGTCTTGGTTCCCAGCAGTCTCGCGATGGAGCAGAAATTGTTGAAGTAGGTTCCGTGGAAGACACGGAAGAGGGACTCCTCCGCCCCCGACCACTCAACGGGCTCCAGCGGCACGTCTGACAGGACCGGCTGCGAGACGGCGGGGCTCAGCTTCTGCTTCGTCGGTGTCTGGCAACGCGAGTTGGCCTCTAGAGCGACCGGAGAGCAAGGGAAAAGAAATCGTGGCCATGAGAGGAAGCCCCAAAGAGTGGCACCCTCCTTCCTGCCCCAGGGTAAAGCGCACGAGACGCATGTCACCCACCCAGCCGCACCGGAGCTGGCTCTGATGGGGACAGGCATAGCATCGCTTTGGGGGGCACCACTGCCTGCCTATCCCCTGCCCATCGAGAGGAAAGCACACCAATTTCATTTATTCCCGCGACGGATTGGGACGTGTCGCACAAGGCCTGTCCCTCGTCAAGTTCTGGGAGGGCACCCACAAGAAGCAGGCGGGTGGCCCTGCTGCAATCTCCCTTGCCCCTCGGCTGCCAGCGCCCAGGAGGAAAATGCCACCCGCCGTCTCTCCCCCCCCCCACGCAGGAGGCAGCAGGAGAGGCTATCGGAGGGTGCCTCAAGTACCCGAGGAACTGGAGGCCCAGTCGTTGCCCGTGTCTCGGTCGCTGTCGCCTTCCTTGGCTTCGGTGCTCGTGGAGGTGGAAGCACTGGAGGAAGAGGAGGCGTTGAGGGCGGGGGCCCTGCGGCGGCGCCGTCCAGAGCACTTGGACCGTTGGTTGCGCAGCACAGCGAACTCCTTGGCTCCCTCCTAGAACCAAAACCCGGTCAGAGACCCACGCCCGCCAGGGAGGAGCCGCGGGAGCAGATGGACGGGATTGGGGGGACCTGGCAGGGGGGGGGACCGGAACCCCCGGCGACTCCTGTGGGGCCAGCAGGGCCACTTGCTCAGCTCAGACTCAGGCAACAGCACCACGAGCCACGGGGGGGGGCACCAGGGGAGGGTCCCTCTTGGCACCCCCAGGCCGCCTTTCTCCGCTTGCCTCGGGCCACCGGTGGCTCTCCAGGGCACCTGCCCAAGTGGGAAGTCAGGCGGCCAGTCTTGGCCCCTGGCCTTTCGGAAGACTGCTCCAGGGGCAGGGCTCTCTGGCGTCCTGAAGGCTGCCAGTCCTGCGGGAGCCTCAGAACTGGCCCTTCCTCCCCTGGCTGCTGCCACTACGGGCAAGTTTCGCTGTGATGCTCCTCTGAGCAGAAAACAAAGCCCCTCGCCCAGGGGC